GGAGAACGAGAAGGCTCAACCGGAGAGCAACGCTGAACAGAGCTTGCAGGGACCGAGTCCTCTTTGCCCGAGCCTCCCGGTCATGCCACAGGTAAGCGGCCTCATCAAGTCGCCACAGACGCCATCATTGGAACCGGTTCCGGTCAAGAAGCTGATCCCCCTGACGTCGCCAGCGCAGCAGCCGGTGGCGTCGCATCCCCCAGAAGTCAACGTGAGGGCTCCGGCGCCGGACACGCCAACTCCGCACCCCTCCCGCACGGTGATCATCGTCACCTCGGCAGCCCCCTCCACGCCGGCCCCGGCCGCGCGCGTTTCCACGGCGACCGCCACCGTCTCTGCGGTGACGTCCCCGTCCGTGGCAACGGTGTCCATTGCCAGCCTGGCCGCCTCCGTGGCCCTGCCCGCGCCCACGTTTGGCGCGGCCATCTCGGCGCCGCTCACGGTCATCTCCAAGGGGCTAGCGGGCACATCCGTGCACTCCGCCACCCCGTCCACGTCCGCCGTGTCGGCCGCTGTCTCCAAGGCGACGCTGTCTACGCCCGTTATCGTCTCCGTGACGGGCGCGGGGCCGTCCGCGCAGCTGAAGACGCAGACGGTGGTGAGGAAGGTGTCCCTGGGCATGGGCAAAGGGGTGACCACGTCGAATCTGCGCATTCAGGGGAAGGACGTGACGCCGCTGCCCCTGAGCACCGTGTCGCTGCCCCGGGGGCAGCAGGTCACCCTCACCACTGCGCTGGCCGCACTGCCCCGCACCCAGACTGTGCTGCGCCTGCCCCATGAAATGGCCGCCGCTCTCTCCAAGGGGCAGCTGACCACTCTGAAGGTCACCCCCGAACTGCTGTCCTCGCTGGGGGTTAGTCGGGGCATGCCCGGCACAGCCGTGCTCTCTCCGCAGGGCATCCTGTCGTCGGCCACGGTCATCAAGGCGACGCCGGAAATTCCCGACCTGGACTCCTCGCCCGGGGCCGCCGTAAAGATGCTCCCTCGCCCGGGGCTTGCCGATCCAAAACCCGGCGTAGGACTTTTCCCGGTGAGCAGCGCCTCGAGCGCCGCCACGCTGTTGAAGTCTGTGACCGTCTCTTCCCTAGCGGGCCTCGGCCACGCGCAGACGTTTCTGCGCACGGCCATCTCCACGGCGTCGGTACCGGCAGGAGTCGTCAAGTCCACCTTCATGTCTTCGGGCGGCATAACATACAGCACCCCGCCGCACGCCAGGTCCACGGTCACCTCCTCGGTGCTCACCACGCAGCCCAGTCTGGGCGGCGGAGGCACCAGGCCGGCCACGGGGATGTCGGGAGCCGTCGCCAAGCTGGGGGCGGGGACGGCCGGCGAGGCTCGGCTCGGCATGCGGGTGATGCCCGAGCTGGGCGTCATCGTCGGCGCCGGCGAGGCGCAGGCGGGCGACGCCGCCAAGCGGGCTCCCGCCGTCACGTCCGTGCACGGCCCCCTGGGCGCGGCCAGCGCGGCCATCACCAGCTTGGCGTCCATCGGCCTCAGGCCCGCACACGTCACCGCCACGGTGGTGTCCCACGCACCGTCGGCCAAGATGGCGGGCACCATCACGCTGCCCATCTCGAACCTGCAGGTGCTTGGGCAGCCCGGCCATGCCAAGGGGGGGCTCATCACCGCATCGGCAATTCTTAAGGGCAGCCTGCCCACCTCTGGCCTCGGGGGCCTGGGCCGCAACATCATCCTCACGACGATGCCGGCCGGCGCCAAGCTGCTGCCGGGACACAAGCCGGTGAGCTACATCACGCAGCAGCAGCTGCAGCAGCTGCAGCAGCAGGTGCGAATTCAGCAGCTGCCACAGGGCACCGTGGTGTGCCCCGCCGTCTCCATGCCAACCGTCGTCATGACCACCGAGTCCTCCGCCGACAAACAGCCGCCGACACAGCTGCACAGTGCGACAGCGCCGCCGCAGCAGCACCAGCACATCACCATAGTCACGCAGGCACAAGCAGCGCAGCCAACGCCAGCTCATCCAGCGCAGCACAGCAAAGAGAAGTCGTAGCTGCGGTGGCGCGTGTAATGCCCTGCACAGACCAAGTTATGTGTAGCAACGGGGATGCTGCCGGAATGTAATGGCTATCGCACTGGGCTTGAAATCCAGAAGTCGCCGCTTTGATCTCCCGACACGGCAGTTGAAACAATGGGAAAGGTTTATTAAAATCCCCCCTGTCCCACCGCTGCCTTTGTCAATGCACCAGTCCCTGAGCAGTCGATCAGAATGTCACGTGTTGGTGTAAAGTGTGGGTACTACCAGCTCTTCCAAGACGGATGGCCATCATGGAAGATTAGGGGCTGTCTGGAGCTCCCTCAAGTGGAGGCCCTTCTGCCAACAGTGACACGAGCAAGCAATTGCAAGGCTGCACTTTTAGCTTTTACAGCAACAGCAGTTGTGGAGTGGAAGAGCGAGTGATGCAGGATGTAAAATGAGGGCAGCGCTTGGCAGTGTGAGTGCAGACACCAACTTAATGGCTGGCAAAATGTAGAAAATTATTTGTCCAAAATAACAATGATATTGTTTTGTTATATTTATTTACTTTTGTTTGTATTTCTCTCTGAACTCTTTTTGAAATGAACATTGCCAAATCATGTTACACATATTTGGACATCAAAGGCAGTCTGGATTAACCGGTACAGCACTAGCATTGATGGTGTTCTTTCAAAGTTACCTTTGCTAAGGGAAGAGCGGATATATTGACGTGATGTTGAGCGATATGGGTGCTCAACTGTAAGATTGGCCAAGGCTGGCTGGTAGTTTGTTTTTTCTGCACATCTTTGTCATCCGTTGTGTAGCTCTGCATTGCCTATGCCAGGGCATCTATGCAAAATAAAGATCGCTTTCAATCTTACCTGCAGAGTAACATTCTGAACTGATGTCGTGTTGCACGTCTCGGTCAGCAGAGAATGTGTGGACCTAGACATTGGTTGCGGAATGCTTAACACGGGACGTGTCGAGGTTGCAAGTGACCCGTTCCTCGCAACAGAGTTGTACCCATACAACTGTCAGATTTCTTCAAACATAACTCACGTCCGTTGTGCAGAACAATCGTGTCGAAATCATCTCGGAAACCCTTTAAAGTAAATTCTAGTTGTGCACTAAATTACTAAAATACAATACATTTTTAATAAAAAATGTGCAGTAATTTAAGTTTGGATGCAATCACTTGTCTTTAACATTCCTCTTGTTCCAACTGTTTGCTGTGTTTGGCCAACTTGACATGTCCATCGTAAAATGTCAGTGCATAGTGGACTCCGTTGTGGTTTGGAGGCTGGTTCATATTGTTTTTTATTTACAACCCTTGTCAATGCACTGTTAGATGAAGGCCTCCCCATGTCGCGGTAATTACGGAGGTTGTTTGACCGTACTTTACCCTACTGGCCAGTGCATGTTGGTGAATGTGGGAAGGTCAGGGCCGATTCAGATATCACTCTCGCGACCGATGACAGCCGTGGCCGGGAATCCACATCGGGTTACAGGGTTCATCGTGCAGCGCACGAACCGAACCATTACGTTTAAGCACGGTCAAACAAAACCACAGCCAAGAGGCATAGCGAGCCCTTCATCCAGCGGTGGATTGACAAAGCTGCTTCATATTCCACACAATAAATTACCATCCGCCCTGTGTAGCCTCATGATGCATATCCTAACGTGTCGTTTATTTAGCATGTCCACTTTAGAATTACAACCGTTGCTTTTGCTGTAAATTCCTCCAATTGCTGTTGCCTTAAGGGTGCTGCTGTTTCTGCACGTATTTCTCAGTAAATGTTGCATTTGTGGACATGGCGAACAGCTGCTTATGAAACACTTGCTCCAGCATTCATCTCGTGAGTTGTCTATTCCTTGGGTAGCTCTCCGGTGCCCTTTCAGATTGTACCTCATGTTGTTCAGCTTTATGTTCGACGTTTCGCTCCACGTGATTGGAGCTTCTGCAGCAACTGGAGAAGCTTCAGGACTGAATAAGCACCCAGCACGTGGAGCGAAACGCCGGACGAATGCCGAATAACACTTGGCACAACCAGAAAACACATCGTTGAGCTGTACGTCCTGACTGGGAACGTACGCATTGGTTTTCCTTGCGTTAACTAGAGAAGCGGCAAAAGGGCAAACATTCTTAAAGAACAAGGTGCTATGGGATTGTGTGGTGCATTTCCCAAATGAATGGGTGGGGTAAAGGCATAGGGTTTGTATCTCTGCAAGCCATATGCAGTGGTGCATGTGTAACCAGGTGCACTTGGGTTGTTACAATAATCAGGTTGTTGTCAGTTAAATTATTCATGGTCACTATTTTATTTAAGATTTAGTACTATAATTGCTTTAAATCGGTGTGGAAGGCCAAACTATTTGCAATATGGGCTCTAGAGCTCCCTCTGGAGGCCCTTCAAAGACAAATGACCCCCGTTTTGCCTTAACAGACTGGTGGGGCAAGTTATGTAAGTGAGCACCTATTAAGGCCAGGTCGGCACAGGATGGGGTTGGTTGCCAGCACTACACCTGGCCCCCTTTGTCTTCTGAGTGGCGATGTTTACGCACCGCGCCGGGTACTTATTTGAGACTGAGTAGATTTAGGGAAGGACTTAAATCGACTCAGCCTCAGGTGTAGGTCGTGAACAGGAACCGAACTCGGGTGGCCAGGTTCGTAGTGCAGCCTGCTAACCACTACACTAACGCCCCCACGGGCTTCACAAACCCAGACTGACCAGCACGGTGAAGTATGGTCAAACAAGCCTTGTGGATGGCAGAGCGTGGGGAGGTCTTCATCTAGCAGTGGATGGACAAAGCTGGACGTTATCTCATAACGACGCAGTGTGAATGTCATAAACCTCGTTAGACGCGATGCCAACGTGTGCTCGTGTTCACTTTGCTGACCCCCCCACACTGATGGTTCACGTGGTGCTGCCCGCTCCACTCATGGGTCACGTGGTGCGGCCTCCCCCCCCGACCCACGTCAGTCACGTGGTTCCGCCCTTCAGCGCCACTCCTGGTGGAGTTCGACCGCCTTGGTCACGTGGTCGCCTGAGCGCCGCGTTCTTGTGATTGGGTGTCTCGCACGTGACGTCACTACGCGCTGGGCTATGGCGGCCGCCGAGATGTGGTCGCTGTTGCTGCTGCTGCTGGGGCGGACGGCGCTTGGGGACGCGAGCATGAAGGTGCGAACATCAACACATCACCTGCATCAACATTCCCATCATCACCTGCATCAACATTCCCATCAACATCACCAGTATCGACAACATCACCAACATCATCACGAGCATCAACAGTCGCCGGCGTCGATATCACCTCCAGTACTCTACCACGAGCACCAACATCGCTGTCGTCAACTCGACCGGCGGTGCTATCAACAGTCACACACATTTACGACCATCAGTACGAACACCGCTTCCATCGTCATCAGTACCAACATTGCCATCAACATCACTAATGTACCATTAGTACCAACAGTACCATCAGTACCAACATCACTACCATCAGTTACATCATTACCATCAGTACCAACACCATCACCACCAATAGTACCAACAGTACCAACACCACTATCATCACTACCATCACCATCAGTACCAACATTACCATCGGTACCAACACCACTACCACAACCATCAGTACCAATATTATCATCGGCACCAACACCACCACTACCACCACCAAATTCCGCTACCATCATCACCAGTAAGTACCAGCGTCACGTTAACTTTGTTTTAGCCAAACTACCGTACACGTCTGTACTTGATTTGAAGCTTTCGTGACTGCAAGGATCCATACTCTTTGGTTCTATTCGGTAAAGTCACGTAGGTAAAACAATAAAAATCTTGACGTTTCGGCCACAACGTCGTGATATTTGTTGTTTTACCTACGTGACTTTACCGAATAGCTACTTGATTGTGATCACACGCGGCCCCGACCTCGCCCCCTACTGCTATCACGGGGTATGACCCTTCTGAAATCCTCAGCAATAAAATAACGCAGTGAGCTGGGTGCGGGATTGTGACCAGTGGGTCTGCCATTGATGCTAACTCGAGGGAGTGCACAGACTCACGATTCCAAAACTCACAGGAAGTAATACAATTAAAATGTATGATGCGCATTCGATCCTAGTATCCCAATGTGCAATGCATGAAAATCAGAACACAAAAACAGAACCAGGGCAACCGACCAAACTAAAGAGGGAAGGCTACTTAACAGAGATGGGTTTTCAAAACAGACTTAAATATATACTGGCTCTGATTTCAAATGGCAAGGCGTTCCATAGCTTGGGTGCCATGCTAACAAAACCCCGATCACCAAAAGAGCGCAACCTCGACCTGAGAGGTGCTGACCAGTTGGAGATAAGAAGTACAACTTGCACACGAGACACGCCTCATGTATGTATATAGGCCCTGCCATTAATGTTTACATGTTGAACGTCTTTCGCAACGTACATAGCCAACCGTGCCAATCAGTTAGCTAATCAATACCCGTTTGTGTCACAAGCCAGCCTGAGGGTCTGTCTGTGGGTCTTTGTGGCTGACAACCTGTACGAGAAGTGAAGACTCAGTGACTGAAGTCACATGAATGTATAACATGGCACTTGTACGAGAGCTGTCACGATGCACAGGGTTACTCATTGCTGTGTCAAGGACATGTACCGATTGGCATTACACAGCCATCATCGCTCCCTACTGACACACTAATGCTGCTTGCAGGCCATGTGCTGAGTCATCTTGTGCTGCACAGGGACAGCTTCCACTTGGGTTTGCTCCTTCAAAAATGTGTTTAGATAAGATGCAAGTCACTTATCGCGTTTAAAGTGCGGCGAGACGCCCCGGCGTACAGGAGGGTGGCTCCCATCAAGAACAGCTTCCGATTATGCTGCCAGGTCGTGTAATTCCGGAGATCCCAGATAAATCACAGCGTGGACCCTCCACCGACGTCACTTCAAGCCCTTCACAATCCCAACACCAGCAGAAATAGGGTCGGTGGGTCGATACAAATCTCGTCGGCTTCCAGAGGGCATCCAATTTCTATTTCATGCCGTTCTCAAGTATATCTTGCTCTGGCCATTCATCATCTCATTTGCAAACCTACGTGTAAAACAGCGATGTGTATTCCGGTTGTAATGATGCTATAGCGCTCATGGTCGTAATATTGTCAACAGTCGGAGTTTGTGCGAATGCGTATCATCATGGAACATTTCAGGTGAACCCTGTGATCGTTGAGGAGCAGCTGCTGTGGCAGAGTAAAGACACGGGGGAGGTGAACACGTTTCGAATTCCCATCATCACCGACACACCCAGGGGAAACCTCATCGCCGCGGTAGAGGCGCGCAAAGCCTCAGGTGCGGACGTGGGAGCCAAGTTTATCGCAATTCGTCGCTCCACCGACAAGGGTACGTGTACCCGCGTTTGCATGTCACAGCTCATTTGTATCGACAGTTCGCCAACTCTTCGGAGCATTGTGAAAGGAAACCGGCCAGATGGCTCGCCGGGAGAGTGAACGGCTCGCAATCAGAAGGTTGCGTAGATTTTTCTCCGGGTCCTCCGGTTTGTCCCCCTCCACATTTAGAATCAACGTGCATTTGGAATATTTGGCTGCTAGAAATGCCCACGTTATAAGCCACTTCATTGAGCTATCATTTGTGGCCAGGTCGCTTCTGAAAAGAGCTATATAGCCCAGTGGGCCTTACCTGGTAAAATAAAATAATAAGAGTTGTTATTTTCCGTCAAGGTTTGTGGGTTGACTCAGCCCCCTTCCCCTAACCCTTTGGCGGCTGATAAGATGAGTAACACTTTGTAGAGAAGTCAACGGTATGAATGTGGAATTTCCACTACTGACTCAGTGCTATAAACAGGAGATGGAGCACATCCTCAATGCCCATTTGAACCAAAAATTTCACTGACATTTTTTGGAAGGAAAAGCAGAGACGACAGGGAGCTGGAGAGGCATTCCAGTTGTTGACACACGTGGTGGAGAAACCATCGACTTGCATTGGGGGTGATGACAAGGCTCAGCAGCAGCGTGTTCACTGCTCATTGCGGAGTTTCTCGGTTTCATTCCGGTAGGCTGCCCTGGTTAGGACCGCGGTGCCTATGAACTAAATATTTAAGTTTGGACTTGAAAAATCCCTTGATGTCGTACAAACGAATAGGCCATTGTGTGCTGGCATTATAGTCTGAATTCCGCAGCAAATTACCCAATTGGTGTCACACAGCAGCAACATCGCCCCCCTCTTGTGAAACGCAGCAGCGCCTTCCTTCGTGATGATAGCCTCGTGCTATAAGAATGGCGCAAATACCAAATGTACGAATGATCCACAATTACCTTGCTGAACTCGTCAAGGAGCATAAACCATTGCGCGAACTTTGGTAATCCATGCAGCGGCTTTTGGCTAACCATCGACTCAAGACGGTTACCGAGTCAGTTTAACACATAGGCTTTTGCGGGTTTTGACGACATATTTACGCGATCTAACCCAAAAACCTCTTATGGACGGTTACTGAATCAGATTCGCTTCTGCGGCCGTCTGGAACGTTTTTTCTTCCAATATTAGGAAGCCACTGGGAGCTATGCACTTTAAATGTAGATTGATAACTAATTTCTCTAAAAATGCTTTTTTGTGTTTAGTTTATTGTCCTTCCCCCTACACCTCCGATTAGCACGGTTGGCTGCGTACGGTACGAAAGAAGTTCAAGATACTGTACATTTTGAATTATTATTTGATTGCCATGCCAGGTTTTACCTGGAGTCCCTCGCAGTTCGTAGCGGACGATGGCACGGCAGCCGACGGCCTCAACCTGGGTGCCGTGGTGGCGGACCACGAGGAAGGGCTGCTCTTTATCATGTATGTGCTGTGCGCTCACTACTACAATTGCGGAGTCTCCAGCACCATGCTCATCAGCAGTGCCGACGACGGCATCACCTGGAGCAAACCCATCAACATCTCCAGCCAGATCGGCACCAAGATGTTTGCCCCGGGTCCAGGCTATGGGATACAGGTAAGCAAAATTGCAAAATGCCAATATTTTATTATTATTTCGCTTGTTCACCCAGGAAGGGCTCAATGAATCTCAAGACTCATTTTCAGGAGGGTCCTGCCAAGTTATCTTCGTAGGAGCCCATCTTATTTTGTGCAATCCCAATTGAGTAATTTGTAGGTGTTTTTTTGGCATTTGGATGTTTAGCCAATTTCATTGCATGTGTTTCCTTTTTTACTCCAAATTTACACCTGTATATTTGGAGTTTGCATGTTCTCCCTCAGGTCGTGTGGATTTTTCTTCAGGTCCTGCGGGTTTTCCCTCAAAATTTAGAATCAACATGCATTTAGAGTATTTGGCTGCTCTAAATTTCCACATAAGCCACTTCGTTGAGCTATCATTTGTGGCGAGGTCACTTCTGAAAAAGAGCTATGCAGCCCAGTGGGCCTTACCGGGTAAAATAAATAATAGTTTACAGTTCAGTTTTAAAGGCATCTTATAAATCTAAGTTAATCTTGACATGGTGTGGGGAGGCCATCATCCAGCAGTAGATTGACAAAGTGCTGTAAAATATTGCAGAGAATGTCTTGAAATTAACGCAGAAGTTTTTAGTCGCTAAAAATTCATGATTGAGTTTTGGGTTAGACAGCGGCATGATTTGGTCAAATTCCTGTCATATGACCCTTTACCACCCGACACAGCCAAACAAGTTAAATTGTCATATGTGCAAGCATTTAACTCGATAATTTTTATTGTTTCAGCCGAACGGTATTTTGATATTAAAAAAAATTGTCAGCCAAATTGAACACAAACAATGCTCACAAACTGTGCCCCTCGTATGGCTAGAGAGGCTTAAGAAATATTGGTGCCAGTCACAAGCTGAGACGTCACGTGTCATAATAGGTTACTGACGTCGTGAAGGGTGGGGTTGGAGAGAGGGGGGAGGCGAGGGGGCACGTGGTAGTGTAAACGTCACTGAAGCAGAACACAAGGAGGGTTGGGAGGTCGGTCAAAGAGTTCAGGTCACGTGTGCAGTTGTGGTTAAGATGGGCTTGAACATTTAATCCTCAGCCATTAACTTTGACATCGTCTTGTTCTCGTATCTGTACCGAGGGCTGACATTTTGCCAACGAAGAGGATGTTTACTCTTTGGTTCTTTCGGTAAAGTCACGTCGGTAGAAAAAGAAAGAATAGATCTTTCCCCCCCTGCAGCTGACCTCTCCAGTGCTGCCGCGGTGGCCCACTGTACTCCATTGACCCGGGTGCTGCTGCAGGGTCCACTTTCTGCCCCGCCTCCTCCCCCCCTTCTCTCTCCCCCCCTACTGCCGAGGCCGTTTTTCTTGCTGTGGTTGCCCCACCTGATGACGATTGCTTGTGTTTCGATCGAAACGTAATGATCTATTATTTTTCTACCTACATGACTTTACCGAAAGAACCAAAGAGTATGGATTCCTGTAGTCACGAAAGCTTCAATTCAAGATTGATGAAGATGTTGTTGTCGTTGCTGTGGATGGAACGGTTGGGTGGTAGTGAGAGATGTGTGAAGCGGCGACACCAGGGAAGCCCCAGAGAGTGGGCACTATGCCGAGCTGCCCGAGTTCGTGTGAAAGATGGAAGTCATCTGTATTGCGATTCTGGCCAATGTTGATGATGGAGCTGGTGTCACTGGGGGAGAGAGAGGACAGATTTGGCAGTGCCCCGTCTCCTTGGTGTGTTGAGTGTGTGCAGGCGTAACTATACAACGCTTTTGATGATGTGGTTGGTGGAGTTACCAGCGAAATGTCGCAGTACTCGAATTGTAAATGTTGTGGGTTTACTCTCCAACACACCAGTGTGTAAACAAGTAACGAATTGGGATGTTTTGTTTGCGTGTCAAACAAACCTTACTGTGTCCGATGGTGGCGGGTTAACGACGCATTGACATTTATGCAATCTAACCCAAAAACCTTTATTATGGATACCATTGAAATAATGTTTTCTTCACATTGTACTTCTTTTTAATCAACAATATTCTTGATTTCTCAAAAGTACAGGTTACTGGGGAAAACAGTCCTTGGCGTGATTTGGATTTTTCATCGAGTACTTTGTGCTCATTTCCTGCATTGCAAAACAGTTGAGATTGACATTGCACAACTCGGACTGTGAATGAATCAGAGGCGGAACTAGAACTTCCTAAGTGGGGTGTGGGCGGCCCCATAATGTTAAGATTTTTAATCAACATCTGACTTATTCTTGGTTCTTTCGGTAAAGTCACGTATAAGGGAAACAATATAATACAAATATAAAACAATAAAATTCTCACGACGTTTCGACTGCAACACAAGCAATCATCATCAGGTGTGATGATTGCTTCTACGTGACTTTACCGAAAGAACCAAGAATATGAATCCCTGCAGTCACGAAAGCTTTAAATAAAAATTTTACATCTCACATGACGTCATGAAATGCTTTTTCTCCGATAAATATCAAGGAAATATTACATTTCAGAGTCTCAAACGGTGGGTGGATCACCCCTAGGTTTGCCATGGAATGAACACCATTACTTACGCAAGTGCTTTGATTGTGTTATTTCCTGGGTTGTGCAGAAAAGGTTTGAGCCCAAGAAGGGCCGCCTGGTGGTGTGTGGGCACGGCACGCTGGCAGGGGACGGCGTCTTCTGCCTGCTGAGCGACGACCACGGAAAATCGTGGCATTACGGAGGTGACATGAAGAGCATTCCCTACAACCAGGACAAGGTGGCCGGGGACTTCAATCCTGACGAATGCCAGGTACTGCTTGGCCCAGCCTCTGGCATTTCCACGTTTGTATTTATCGCTTCCACGCGAGCTTTCTGTGGTGCAATGGCGGGCGCAGTGCACTTGCGACCCAGAGGTCGCCAGTTCGGCCTCCCGTTGCGGAAGTCGAGACAACGGTGCAAGTTACTTAAAGTGGTGCCGCGGTGGCGAGATGTTAACTACCTCATCTGGTATACAGGAGGTCGTATATTTGTTTTAACGACACATTTATATTTACGCGATCTAACCCAAAAAAACCCTTTATTATGGATGATATTGGTCGCTTTCGCGACCAATATCATTTTTGAGCCTTGAGACGGGGCTTAAAAGAAAGCCGTCTCTGGTGTGGCCCAATCAGTTTCAAGGACAATGCATATATTATCAGTGTGTTTTTTGTTTGCATTTGGACCACAAGTATTGTGGTTAATGCACACATAATTCCTTGTAAAACGGTTTCAGTTTTGTTGCCAGGAAAAAAGGGGAAAACCCCCATTATTGTATATCTGGAGTTTGCACGTTCTCCCCGTGGTTGCGTGGATTTTTCTCCGGTTCCTCTGGTTTTTCCCTCTGCATTTAGAATCAACATGCATTTAGAGTATTTGGCTGCTATGAAATCCCATATCATAAGCCACTTCATTGAGATATCATTTGTGGTCAGGTCGCTTCTGAAAAAGAGCTATATAGCTCAGTGGGTCTTACCTGGTAAAATAAAATTTCTAGTTTAGTTTAGAGCCTCCCGCCTCTGTCCACCCAGCTGCGTAAATGGGTTCACCACAGTCGATTGGCAGATTGCCTTTGGTAGGGTAAAGTGTAGGTACTTTCCTCTTCCAAGTCGCCTGGGCAGCATGGAAGAGGAGACCAAATTTTGTCTAGAACAGTGGTGGTCAAGCTGTGACCCGTGGGGGAGCCCCTTGTGGTGGCGTGGTCTAAATGTATCCAGGCTAGTGCGTGGGGTCATGGCTAGTGCACAAACACGATTTCAAGCTTTCGGCCCACTGAGATGGAGGGCTGCTCACGTGGCCTGCGAACTTGGGCGGGTTGCCCATCACTGCTCTGGAGCTCGCTCAAATTGAGACTCCTCTGCCAGCAGTGGCGTGAGTGAGCAATAATCTATTCATAATCTCGCGTATATATAAAGACACAGTCAATAATGTTTTTCAGATTAAAATCCGTTTGCCCAAGTTTACCGGTAAGTTGTTTGCACAGTGTAGCCATTGTCTATAGACATCTGCCCATTCCTGGCCCCAGCGAGTTGATGTATAATGCACTGTGCTGCTAAATATCCCATGCCTTTAACTCAAGTTGATTTTATTTCTAATGATCCATTGTCCTATCCATCTTGCTAAACCCGCCCAGGCAGCTCAGCGGTAGAGGGAACAGCGTGGAATTGGGCGGTTGAGAGTTTAAATCCTGGTTGATATATGACTCAGCCCTTTGTCCCTCTGGGGTCGATAAAATTACTTGTACTTTGTGGGAAGTCAACAGCTGTTGTCATATGAACAGACTTGAGCCTGCCACAGGATTACAGAATCTCCACCACTGGCGTAGCAGGGCTGTAAGTGGGAGATGAGCACGGCTGACTGGATGCTCATTTATCTGTATGTCTGTATGTTGAACTTCTTTCGCAACGAAACTTACGTAGCCAATCGTGCTAATCAGGGTACGGGGAAGGACAATATATATGATTTAAAAGTGCGTACCTCCAGTGGCTTCCTAATATCGGAAGTAAGATCATTCCAGACGGCCGTAGAACCGCATCTGAAAGCATGCCGATTCGGTGACGACCTTTGTTCGATGGCCAGCCAAAAGCTGTTGCTGCTGCGAGGATGACCGCAGTTGGCACGACGCTGTGAGCAGGAGACGGCCGTGACCGTGTGCCCTCTAGCCGTACGAGCTGCCGGACGGCTCTGTGGTGGTGAACGCGCGCAACCAGAACTACTACCACTGCCGCTGCCGCATTGTCATCCGAAGCTACGACGCGTGTGAGACGTTTCCCGTGGAGCACCTGTACTTCGACGAGTCGCTCATCGACCCCGCCGTGGCCGCCGGAGCCATCATCAAGAACGAGGTCGTCTTCTTCAGCAATCCTGCCAGCCAGAACAAGCGTAAGCCTTCTCTGCTGCTTCTTCTTTTTCGTACGGCAGCTGATATACATGCAGAGCTACAACTTACAATCTCACATTCAGGTGGTCAAGCCAGACAACCGCGTCGGGAGCAGCGGAGTCTATAATTGCTGTGATATCACCTTCGTATTTGTGGATCAGGCACTGTGTCGTTATAAGTTGTACGATCTGTTCTGGATGACCACAGTCGCACACTACTGGAGAGTTTTAAATTTTCCATTTGTGCATCAGGTATTTGCATCTGCTGCCATGGTTTGTGACCATCACGCCTCATCTCGTGTATACACGTACACATGTGCTTGTACACTCGTCGTGTGTGTACAGCGATACCTAGATCTACAAAGTAGATGCGTTGCTGCAGCTTTGTTCGGATATTGAAACATCGGATACTGAGGATGCGTTCCCAGCCTTCGTAACTTACTATTTCAGACTATAGATGCTTCATAACTTACCATTCATATTGTAAACAAAGATAATTTAAATTGAAAATAATATAGTTTCTACTGTACAGTATTTAAATCTGACATAAAGAAACAGTGACGAGACATATTACCAGAGATATCAACATTTGTTTTTTTAATGTATGTATTTATTTATAATTTTACTTTATTTTTTGCGTATTGAATATTCGTATATCGAGGCACGCTGAACTCGCAATCCACTTGTCGCCAGTTCGATTCCATCTCCAGGCGCGGCATTTGAAACGATGGGACAAGTTTCCTAATCTTAAAAGATTTCCAAAATTCTAAATAAACACAAGATCCAAGTCCGGTTCAATACAGTACACAAAATACGTGATCTGATCCCATCCGGAAAGGATGTCATCCCTGACTTACAGTACCCCGGAGTACCTGTGGTGACTGCTATATCGGGGAGACGAAACGACATATCTCTGACCTAATTCGCGAGCACAAATCAGATTTGAAACACGGCAGAACGAATTCTTCTGCTGTGGCTGATCATTGTTACAACGCTATGGGTGACCATGAGATTGTCTTTTCCGATACCAAGGTTCTTTGTAAACCTACAGGTTATCACCAAAGATTTGTCCACGAAGCCATTCAGATATACAAACACAGGCATAACTTCAAGCGAGAGGATGGTTTCAAATTTAGCAACCACTGGAAAGACATTTTAAATCATACCAAACGTTAACTAATTTCTAACAGCAATTTCAAGCAGTGGTATACCAAACATTCTTTCCGAACTTTTCTATTTCCCTTTTTTCTACTGCCCCCGTACAGCACATCCTCGATGATCTTCATTTTTTCCCGTTTATATTGCACACACACAATGACCCATCTACACAACAAAAAGACGGATTAACTCAGCTCCGCACTCCACTAAAGTCCCCTACATGGCCCCTCCGAACCCCCCCCCTCAACCTGTATTTAAGCTCGAGGTTCCCAGAACCTCACCACTTGGTGCAGCGATTTTGCTGAGACTGGTCCCACCTGAAGACAAAGCTTGCTTTGCCTCCGAAACGACGTGTTTTAATTGTTTCTTTTATTTCAATTTATTTTAATTTGTTTTACCTACGTGACTTTACCGAATAGAACCAAATAGTATGAATCCCTGCAGTCACGAAAGCTTCAAATCTAGAAGAAATATGTTGCTTTAACTGCCATGCCTGGGAGATTAAATAAAACAAATTCAGCATGCAAACCATTACACCATGACGGCATCCCTACTACCTTGTTTGAGTTTAGATCTTAAACCATCACACGAACTCCGGTCATCCTCGCAGCGGCTTTTGGCTAGCTATTGAACAAGGACGGTCACTGAATTGTGCACTTTTGGATGTGCTTCTGCGGCCATCTGGAATGCTCTTCCTTTCAATGTTAGTAAGCCACTGGAGCTATGCACTTTAAATCTATATTTAAACGAATTTCTTTATAACTGCTTTTTGTGTTTAATTTGTTTTCCTTCCTCCATGCCTCCAATTGGCACGGCTGGCTACATACGGTGCGAAAGAAGAGTACGTACATACTTGAAGTGCGAATTAGCGGGTTAACGGAGGATGTTTTTGTGATGAATGCGCGACATGCTGGCGTTTGCAGGGGTCAACCTGACCCTGCGCTGGAGCTATGACAATGGCACCACGTGGCCGGACTCTCTGCTCATCTGGCCGGGCCCCAGCGGCTACTCGGTGATGACCAAGCTGGAACGCGACATCGAGGACGGCCGCTACATCTTCGTGGTATATGAGAAAGGACGCCTCGACATCACCGAGTCTATCTCCTTCGTCAAAGTGCAGCTTTACAACGACAACTTATGACCATTTGCCGACTTGTTCTCACTTACCCGCCGGTGATTTTTTTCTTTCTCAAATTGTATAAATATTCTGGTGTAAGTATATTATGAAATTATTCCCAAAAACCTGCTTAATTTTCTGAGACGACTGGGGCGGTTAAATAATTTTGTGAGGTGCTAAGCGGTGATGTAAATTTTATATTTTTTTACAAAAAAATCTTTACGTAATTAATATTACTGATCCAGTTCGTGGCATCGCGAGACCATGAAGAACGGTGTTGACGAGGCCTTCGTCCAGCACTGAATGGATCGTGGCTGATGATAGCGGTGAAATGTATACTTTGAAACTAGAGAAATCTGGGTGGTTCAGAGCGCCAGAGTCCTGATTTCAAGCCTGAGTTCCAGGCACTCGTGGTTAAACCAGGTTCTCAAGTGTAGCGAATTTCATTTTCTCAGCCTGGTCACCATTGACTGCACAATAGACCATCACGTTCAATTTCTGTTTGCACTAAAATTTGATTCATAATTAGGTTGTCGAGGTAAGGGCATGTAAAAATGTATCGTTCAACCCGTTACGGCCAATCTTGTGAACGTGTCAAATGTATTACTGCTTGAGCATATCGATAAGTTGAAGCGTTTCGGGTGTAGGAGGGTTTACGACACATCTTTTACATGACCTAACTCAAAAATCCATTATGCATTGTAACAATTGGTCGTGAAAGTCGACTTATATGTGTACAAAATATTCCGTCAAATTTGTCTTACGTTCTAGCCGATAACTAAAAATATCAGTTTGACTCATGCAACTAACATTTCACTCTGCAGCAGGGCAGATGGCAAAGTGCTGCCCCTTCTTGTGAAGCGGAGGTCACGTAAAGGGAGTCTTTTTTTCACATAGTTCTCGGATACCTCTTTCCACGGACCGTTCTCTAGTACGGGACGAAGCACCGTTCTGCCAGTTCCGAATGGATTCATCTCATGACAGCAAGAGCACTTGACATAAAATATATGGGAAAAGTGAGTTTTATTAAATTATGTAGCTAAGTTTCTCATTTGCACCAATACGAATTCCTATATAAAATAGTCTTGTACTTGGCAAATCTGTCACTATGCACTTTGAAACGATACATTGAATCACGTGTTGAGTGATTTATAATGTTAGATACATTTGAATTATACTTGTAATGACTGTAGGTTTGAATGTCCTGCAAAATTGAATTGAACCACAGAATTTCAAAATCTTGACTTTCAAGAGTTTTTGCACATCACATTCTATGGCTGAATGCCAACACTCCAGACACAGCTACTTGGAGGAAATGTAAATTTTGTGTTTCCACCCTAGGAATCATCATGAAACGACGAGTTTCGAGAGATTTAACGCACGTTAAGTTTTTCGCAGCCGCGTGTAATCCCCGCGTGGTGTTCCTGGTTCGGGCCGCATTCCGGGTTTTTCCCTCGAGCTTTGGCCACGTGCTGCTGTGGGCAAATTCAAAAGTTGATCGGACTCCCTGGATTTTATTCTGACTGGGCAACAGTTTCAAGGGAAACGTCAAATTTATAATAGCTATATTTGGCTCCTGACAATTGTTCAAATTATCGGTGAGCTGAAACATTTATCATTGGCACGTGAAACGCTTGTGCAAGTGACAATTTAATGTATGATTCCATAGTTGAATTTCCCGCATTAGCTCGGAGGAGGTTGTCCTCCGGGTCATTCCCATTGAGCGTGTGTGTGTGCAGGATTTCCCTCCTGAGTGTACCTGGCACGTGCCACTGCAGCTTTACCAATTTCACTCCACCGATGTGCTGCCAACAGCTCCCTCCAACTGTGGGACCTCGCCTCGTTTAGCAACCACCGCCGTGCAGCCAGGACGCTCTCGCTGCACCCATTGCACACTTCCTATGGGTTGGAGTGAACATTCCTCGTGTCGATGAGCTTGCAACTCGAAGATATCTCGGTAGTCACCATCATGAGTGCCGCGCTGGCGAGATGTCATCTCCCTCGTATGGTATAAGGAGGTCATGGATTCGATCCCGACCCTGATGCCTCCTGCTGTATTTTTGGAGTGTGCATGTTCTCCCTGTGGTCGCGTGGATTTTTCTCCTGGTCCCCTGGTTTTTTTCCCTCCACGTTTAGAATCTTCGTGCGTTTCGATTATTCAGCGGCTATAAATTTCCACGTGATAAGTCACTTTGTTGAGCTATAATTTGTGGCCAGATCGCTTCTGAAAATATGGTAATAGCTCACTGGGCTTTACCTGGTATAAAATAAGAAATAATGGTTGTCGTGTTGACCAATGACAAAAATAAGACTAAAGACTGGATGATATAAATGTTCCCGAGGTTTAAATTATTATATCAGCCATATGTAGTGGGTTCCAGGACACGGAGACGGCAGAGTAGAAGCAGCACTATTTATTTAAACCTTAAGGGTTACACTAGAAGGGGTAGCGTCCCCTTTACCCGTATAAATCAGGAACACACCCCAGGCTTTCTAGCCTAAGCTCTAGGCTCCCAGTTCCTCCGGGTAGGGCTCTAAGGGAGGCTATCAGATCTGGCCCTGGTTAGGCACAGATCTCGGCACCCCGCCGACCAGACCAGCCCTTAGAAGGACTCTGACTCTGGGGCTCTGGGCCGCACCACTGGCTTGCTGTGCCGGCCCTGAAAAGGGCAGCGGTCACAGGAGTTCCAGGGTCTCACCTAGCTGGCCTTCTTTACTGGTTGCTTCAGCCTCGGGCCCAACACTCTGCCCCGAGCTCCCTGGCTTTTCGCACTTTATACCCACAGGGGGTGTGGAGCCTTAGTGGACGTTGTTGTAGCCACCAAGGTGTGGGTGAACCACACCTTCCCGTGCCATGTGTTTACTCTCCATAGCACCCCTACATCACCCCCTCCCGTGTAACCCGCAGCCGTCCCGGCTGCAACAATACTCGAACAATAAACACAACAAACCCCCACCCTTTTACATTATGAGACCTCCTTTGCCAGTAAAAAAGGGTAAAACCTATTCCTAAACCCCCACCCGTGCATGCCTCATAAGAACGAACACCCCCATGAATAACCCAACCCACCTATACAAAATTACACATATACATTGTACCCCCCCCCCCCCCCCCCATCAACACAGAAAGAAAATTTAACAGTGAACACCAAGAGTAACAAGAACCATTATTACAACAAGCGGCGCGTTTTGGCGCGAGTCCGTTTTGCGGGTCCATAGTAGGGGGAGGGCCCGGTCGGCCCGGCAGTGGGCACCGGCTTTGCAGGTGCACCGTCTTCCGTCACCCCGGGAGGGCAAACTCCGTCCCCACCGGGTGGCGCAGGCGCACTGGAAGCCGTCACTCTTGAGGCGCCTCAAGGTGGAACAGTTAGCGAATCATCAGGGGCAGGTGACGAAGACGCCGTCCGGGAGTCAGCGGACACATCACATGCTCGGCCCGTGTAATGTGGTGGAGGGACGCGCGGCGCCACAAACGGCTTCAGACGCGAGGGGTGTACGTACCAGCGGCGTTTCCCCCACTGGATACGAACGCACTGCGGCCGCATAACCTTCGCAATAACCACAGGGCCCCTCCAAGGCCGCAACAATTTAGCCGAGGTCGCCAACGGCACCTGAGGGCAGTGCAGCCAGGCTTAATCGCCTGGCTTCCACGCATGTGTGCGTGATTGGCGCGATCGCAACCTCTCGTTGGCCTTCTGCCGAGAGGAAGAGTTTTGGGCCGCTGCCTCCCGCGCCTCGGTCAACCTCAGGATATTAAATTTAACGTGGTTGGCCAATTTCGATTTTCTGCTGGTTTCCGAGACGTGGAGCTGAGTCGCAATTGGTGGGTCAACGTCGCGACCGTACATCAAAAAGAACGGCGAGAAGCCGGTTGTCACGTGAGGAGCCATTCTATCGGCGGCCAAAACCCCCGGAATGTGAAGGTCCCAATCGGTCTGGGAGTCACACCTGGTGACAACATAGATGTGAGCGTCCTATGTAGCCGCTCCACCATGCCATCGGTTTGTGAGTGATAGGGGGAAGTGCGAATTTTTTTCGTACCAAGAAGCGCACACACCTCGTGCAGAAGGACGCCAGAGAAGTTCTTCCCTTGGTCAGTCAGCAGCCGTTCGGGAGCACCCTTGTCGAGGACATATCCCTGTACAAAGGCCTCGGCAATGGCTGCTGCTGACTGGTTAGCGAGAGGCCATGTCATAGGCCATCGGGTGAAATATTCCACGCCAACCAGCAGGTACTTGTTACCCCTAGGGGTCGCAGGGAAGGGCCCCAATATATCGAGTGCGACGAGTCCGTTAACCCGAGAGACCGTGATAGATTGTAGCGGTGGGCAGGCGCCTTTCGCTGGTGGTTTTCGTTGGGCGCACTGAGTGCATGCACCCAGGAGGTCATCCACATCCCTTGCCATACCCGGCCAGAAGAAATCCAGCTGGAGCACGGCAAGGGTCTTGTGGGTCCCCAGGTGCAAAAGCCGCTCGTGTGCGGCCCAAACGACCTTACCCCGCAATGCGGATGGCACCACAAGCCTGTGACGGCAGGCCCTCCCATCCCAATGCATCAGGAGCCCCTGGAGCAGCCCGTACGAATCAATCCCCGCGACCCCCCGCATGGAACCCCCTGCGCGACGACGCAACGCGAGGAGGGATGCGTCCTCCATCTGGAGGCGCCCCCATTCCGCAACGGACAACCCCAGCAAGGAGTCCGCACCTCCCTCCCCTACAGGACCCTCAGGCAAGGGGTCCTCAGTGGCAGCAGCGAGAACCGGGATATCTAAGGGAGGGCTATCCTCTGGCGGCTTACAACACACCGATCCCCTGAGACAAGCGCAATCTGAGGCGGGCGGCAGGCGAGACAGCGCATCTGCATTAGTGTGCCGAGCACCCTTCCGATATGTGGTTGTGAAATCATAATCCTGAAGGATTTCGAGCCATCGGGACAATTGCTCCGAAGGCTGCTCCACCCGCAAGGCATATTGTAATGTCGCATGGTCCATACGGACAGTGAAATGCCGTCCGTACAGGTATGGGCGATACTGTTGTATAAAAAATACAATAGCCAAGAGTTCCCGACGCGTGACGCAGTTTCTCTGTTCCGCCGGAGACAAAACCCTACTGCCATAAGCCACGACGCGTTCCACACCACCGATCACCTGTGAGAGCACACCCCCCAATGCCGTATTGCTGGCGTCTGTATCGAGCAGGAAGGGTTCCGAAAAATCGGGGTAGCTCAATGGAGGGGCCCGCACGAGAGCGTCGCGAAGGGAACAAAAAACGACCTCCTCGTCCTGGCCCCAGTGAAATTTCACTCCCTTCACCGTCAGAGCGTGTAAGGGCTTAGCAATGGTCGCGAAATCCGCGACGAATCGCCGGTAATAAGACGCAAATCCAATGAAACTCTTGACCTCAGCCACCGAGGTGTGGGTTGGCCAGGAGCTGACACACTGCGTCTTTGCGGGATCGGTGGATATGCCCGAGCGGCTGACGATGTGCCCCAAATAGCATACGGATTCCCGTAGCAGGTGGCACTTTTGAACACGATGACGTCGTCCAGATAGATCAGACAGACGTTCCACTGTAAGCCAGCCAAAACCAGTTCCATAAGGCGCTGAAATGTCGCCGGAGCGGAGTGTAATCCCATAGGTAACCAGTTAAATTGGAATAAGCCATGTGGTGTGCGAAACGCAGTCTTTGGCTTGGACTCATCATCCAATGGGAGTTGCCAGAATCCGGATAACAAGTCCAACGTAGAAAAAAAACGTGCGCCAGCCAGAGCATCCAGAGATTCGTCCATCCGGGGAAGTGGATACGCGTCGGCCACGGAGATCTTATTAAGGCGGTGAAAATCCACACAGAATCGCAAGGACCCATCGTGCTTTTTGACAAGCACTATGGGTGCTCCCCATGGACTGGTGGAAGGGGCTATAATGTCTGCAGCCAACATGTCATCCACTGCCGATTTGACATGATCCTTTTCGGCCGGACTTAACCGAAAAGGATTCTGGTGTACCGGGGCATTGTCACCCGTGTCAATGTGGTGACGCAACAATTTCGTGCACCCAATGTCATATTTGTGTTTACTAAAGACATCGGAAAATTCCGCCAGAAGGGTGCGTAGGCCTGCACGCTGGGAGTCGGACAGATCACTCGTGCCCGAACATAGTGCGTCCATCCAACTATCGTCCCCCTCAGAATGCGGTTGAGCCAGAGGATCGTACCCCACATTACCCATAACCGTGTCTACCAGGGGGACCGGCGTCGCGTGCGCGAGCACCGTTCCCTGAGGAACGACGGCCATCTGTACGCCAACGTTAAGGACGAGGATAAACGGGTCATCGCTCCCCTTAACGGGCGTTTGAGCGGCCACCAGATCCAGCCCGTTTTCCCCAGCCCTCGAGGGCCCTAACAGAATTCCCTGGTCCGGAACACCGGGCGCGAAAGGCCGACGCAAGCAAAGGTCGCACGAGCATTTCCGCCCCGGGAGGTACACGCACTGTCCGAGTGACGAACGCTTGTATCGACGCGCACGCTGCCCTTGAGGTGACAGAAGGCAGGAATGTTACCCGTCGGCCCGAGGGAAGCTCGATGCAACCCTGATCAATTCGAATTTTAATCGGCATTTTGCCCAAAAAGTCCGTCCCCAACAAGCACGGAACCGCCAGCGAGGACGAGACTAATATCGGCCCGGAGAGTTTGATATTGCCAATGCAAATTTGTGCTCGAATTTGGCCTATAATACCCAGCGAACCCCCGTTCGCTGCGTAACATGGAACGGTGACTGGGAGCAAGGGGCGGCCTTGAACGGGAAGAATATTATAAATCAAGTCTGACACAATGGTTGCCGAAGTTCCCGTATCGACGAGGATACGCACCTCGACCCCGTCAATGCGACCCGCGACCACGGACGAGCCTGCCGACGCAGCAACAACGCGGTGGGCCAATTCCGTCCACTGGCCCGGCCCGAGCACCCTCTCGACCCCGCCGCCACCCAACAAATCAATGGGCGTACCCCTAGGCCCGTACACCGAAACGCGCGAGGTGGGGACAGGTGTGTGCACGGGCCGAGCATGTGGGGTGCCGCGACTTGCCGGGTTGCGATGCGGAGGCCTGTAGGCTGGAGCGCCGTCCGACCGTCCCGGCTGTCGTTGACGAGGCGCCCGGCATTCCGCAGCCACGTGGCCCTTGCGGCCACAGT